TTCAGAACAGTTTACCCCATTCCATCTTTTAAAAAAGCAATGCCACCACCCATCTGCTCATGATCTAATCCTCTAAAATATAGCTTTATTTTTTCTGACCTTTATTACCATCTCAAATTACACACACACACACACACACACACACACGTCACTTGCACTTGAATATATATACACAGATAAGCACATTCATTTTTAAACCTTAAAAATGAGTTTGCTGTATGTTTCTTAAGTTCCATTGCATTATAAATTCTAAGTTTTAAGGGTGCATCACAGAAAGTCAACTTGTATATATAGTAGAGTGAGTTCCCCTTCAAGGTCAAATTTTGTCTTTCACCATACAGTTGTCTCCTTTGTTCCAATTTACCCACTCCCTTCTCCTTTCCTTGTAGTCCAAATGTTTATTCTTGTTTTTAGTTTATGTGTTTATTTTTTCTTTATGTATGACATATGTGTGAAATAACATGTTATTTACTTTTTCTCCTAAGCCTAAAACCCTCTAGATCCAACCATGTTGCTGCAAATGGCAAATTTTCATCTTTTTAAATAGCTGAATAACATCCCATTGCATGTATCTATATCACTTTAAAATTTTCTAAGCCATAGCAAAACCAGGAAACATACAATAGCTATTTATAACTCTAAATCTTTTAAAGTTACCTGTTCCCAGCAAAATTAGGAAATAGATGCAAGATGATACATACTTCCTTTGAAGAATGAAGGAATAAATGGGCAAAGGGGGACTTAAGTATATTCTACTCATTCCTTTGCCTTTTATAGTTAAAGACAAAAGATTGACTCACAGTTGCATAAATCAGCAACTAAAAATTATAGCAAAACAGAGATTGGAATACATTTCCTTTCATTCTAGAAGGGTATCCCTGCATAACATACTAATTCCTAATTTGGATGCTTTTTTCACCAAAGTTTCTCAATGTAAAGTAGTCTAGATATAGCCTCCCTTAATATAGAAAAATAAGAATTAATATGAATTTACTCAAATAGGTCAATAAATATCACACCTAGAAAAATTATTGAAAATTATGTGATCAGATTTTTATTACTTTTAAAATATACTAATTAATATTTATTGTTTATTCTTTTGATTGTCCACACAAGACTAGTCATTTATCTCGGTTTCTCCATTCCTCATAACAAGCCAACAAGGCATATTTCATTGGCTCCATTTTTCCTGTGAAGAAAATGAAGCTTTTTGTGTCATAGCGCATTGCATAGCCAGAAAAGGTCTGACACAGAACTCTGACCAAGGTCACAGATGTTAACACTCGTGCTTGCTCTCTTGCTTAATGCCCTTCTGGGAATAACAGAACTCTAATAGTCATTAATGTGATGAACTTATCAGCTTATAAGAAATTTTTCCATGACCATAGTGTGAGTGAGGTTCCAGGCCAACTTCTGGCACTCTAGAGAAACAAGGTGACAGTGATGGACAAGTTATGTTGATGCCATTATTATGAAAGCAACATGCCTTTGTTAACTTGGCTCCCAAAAATACAAGTCTTGACCATTGAGCATTCAGAAAAGCAAGTGTCCCATCTGAGTTGTAAAATTCGGGTAACCTCTATACTAGAAAGGAAAAAGGGGAGGTAGAGAACATAAGATGAAAATGAAAAATTCGCATGTTTTTTCATTTTGCCATAACAATCATCTTAGCTTTACGCTGATAATTAGCTATTATTCCTTCTCTAACTTTGAGATGACATAAAAATATATAAAAGCTAGAGAAAAGTCCATTGTAAGGGCTTAGAAACTAAAAGGTAAGTAATTTAATTATTCTTTTATCTGATGTTAATTTATGCAGAAACTAATAATATATTTGTGGCTCAGAACTGTTCATTGTGGAGATTTCTTTCTCAACCAACCTTTCTTGCAATTCCTGCCAGAGAGAGCCATCATTTCAGGGCTTTTGGTACTTTTGCCAGAGAAAGGCAATAGATGCTGACAAGTTTGCTTTTCATAAACACACTTAATTGGGAACACTTCAAGACCCAGTGGTATTAACCATTCTAACTCTTCTTTAGCTGGTACAAAACAGCAAACCCAATGGAAGAGAAGTAACAAACAAGTTGAAGAGAAAATTGGATATGGGCGTGCATAGGTGGGTAGAAAGTAAGGAACATTGTTGACTATTCAGGGAGATAAAAATTAGTGGAAGGGAAGTTTTACAAAAGAAACACGGGTTACCTTTATATCCAAGTAGGACATAATTAAATTGTTATGTCCTTCATAAATGAAAAACCTAATTCCACAGCTGCCAAATCACCTCTAGAATAGAGACAATAGTGCTTGAAGAAATTCAGAATCTTCAGAAGTTGATGTTTTAAACGAATTCACCATGAATAAAGTAAGCCCATAATGACAGCTTAAAGGTCTAATTCATAAAAATGTTATTAAAGTACATTATTTATAACTGCTTTTTGTGGACTTCTGGTCTTATTCATGACTCTCTTAGTGTATGGCTGTAATCACAGGCAGAGTACATAATGGAAGCATTAATTCAATCAGAACTAAGGGAAGAATACTGTATCACCACAATAAAATCCTAGCTATATTAATTCAAAGGGTAGAATTTATTGCAACAGAACATTCTCTTTTAAAAATATAAAAAGAATGTTTTCCATCTTATGGCCTTAAATATGTAATTTCATTCAGAAGTTCAATATGAGATTGACTAATTAGCATGAACTTTTAAATGAAATATTTATCCATCTACATTTATGTAACACTGGAAACTGAATTGTAATACTACTGTGATTATGGCATTGATGCCTTCATAGGGATTAAGAAATATTTACAAGTATTCTATATTTTAATTAACCCTTTTTCTCATACATGAAATCAGAAAATGACATTTAGCAAATGCCATTAAATAAATCTTGCATTTGCATTTATTTAGATAAAATGGAAAATGCCCTACCTCATAAAATTTTTCCAGAGAATCTGAAAGTAATGATACTTAAATCAAAAGGAATTTTAATTCAGAATTTTAAGCATTAGTTGCATATTTAATATGTATTAGCCTTCAGAAAATAAAAAGTAGAATTCAATTGGTTTATTTCTAACTCTGGAACTATCAAAATTTGACTTCTTGGCTTTCTACTTCTGATTGGATGAGCTATAATGGTACACTGTAGACACATTTAGACAAGAGTGTGAATATATTTCTCTCTATGACACTAACTTATCTCTAGGAGTCATGAAAAGGGGTCTTTATAAATTATATTTCTAACACTGAAATAAAGTGTTGTCTTTGATCTGATAGGAAAAAATTTCTGTACCTAAGGGAGTGAATTAATTCCAATATTTAATAAGATGCAGTCATTAGTAGACAACTTAAGTATTCATACTAGCACAGCACATTGAATTTCTACAGCATTGTAAAAATCTCATAATAATTCTGGAAAATGAAAATCTTTGAATGCTTGGCATTTATATTTGAGATGAGGGACAAATGACAAAAAACAAGATATTTCAAATATAAGTAAATAACACTACTAATTGAACATAAAAATTAGCCCATTTTCAACATTAACTGCACTTAAAGCTACCTCAAACTTAAAAGCACTTACTATTCCATTTCAACAGCTCTATGCTTCTGTATGACTATTATTTGAAGTAAGTACACTTACCAGAAAACCAGTCAGTACTGTCCAGTTATTTCATGGTGATAAGTGGGCTTTGAGGCTGTCTTTGCCTTTTAGAACAATGCTTTTCCAAGTCTCTGAAGCAGAAATCTTCATGAAGAATTCTAGGGGCACTATCAAATGTTCTATGTAACATTCAGACATTCGGACTTATTGCAACCCCTGAGCACCCTTGCTGATACAGCCATTCAGAAAGGGCAGTGGAAGTTATGTCCCTAACACACTGCCAGACAAATGTCACCAGGCTCCAATGCCTATTGACATGAGGCAGATTTGAAAAACAGTTAATTTTTCTAAAGAGTTATTTATTTATGCGTACAAGAGCCGGGGTGTAGGCCAGAGGTTCGGGGGTGGAGGGGCTGTGTGGTGAGAGGATTCACCAGAGACAGAGTGGGGAGCAGAACAGGCAGATCTACTGAAATATACTACTGAGGGGAGCAGCAGATGAAACAGGAGAAGTCTGCTGAGCCATGTGGGTAAGCTACCTGGCTAGCGTTTCAACTTGTGCTGCAGTAGTTGCTGATTGCTTTATAGTGCCAACCCCTAGGCCACCAGGGAGGCCCCAAAAAACAGTTAAATTATAATAGATATCATGGGCTCCCCAGTGGCACAGAGGGTTGAACGCAGCACTGGGAAGCTGTTGGCAGCCTCTGCAGCACGGGTTCGATTCTTAGCCAGCCAGGGAGATTCCCATATGGTGGAGCAGACCTCTCCTGTCCTCCCACTGCTCCCCTCAGCAGTGTATTTCATCAGTCTGCCTGTTCTGCTCCCTGCTCTGTCTCTGGTGAATCCTCTCACCCTCCCATGCTTCTGGCCTGTACCCCAGCTCTTATATAAATAAAAAATAAATATTAAAAAATAATTACTTAAAATAATAAAATAGATATCATTAGTTCCTTTGTGTTTTGTTTCTAATAAAACTGAATATATAAAAAGAAAGCAAAAAATAATTCTTTTGGCTTACCTGTAGTATCTTTCCTCAGAAATTGTAATTTAAAGTCCTATATTAATATTTTACTTTAGGCACTAGACAAACGATTATTTGGTTCAAAAAGTTCAAACTGTCTTGTTTATTCTTTGTAAACAATATTATCAACCTATAAGTTTATGCATTTTCTGTGAGCCAGGCACTGTGCAAAGTGCTTTGCAAATGTTATCTAACTTTGAGGGAAGTATTATTATTTTACAAATGAGGAAAATAAGGCTTAGTGAGATTAAATCAGTTGCTCAAAGTCACAAAGATGTCTGGAGGCAAGATTGATTTAATAGTATCTTTCTTTCCAATCTTGGCTTTTGTTTGTACTAAATTAAAGGAAATATTTAAAATTTATTCTCTAGAAAAAGAAGGGGAAAAGAAGAAAGCTGAGAAGAAAGTGACTTCTGAAACAAAAAAGAAAGGTATGGAATTCAAGAACAATTTAATATATAAATGGGGTGGTATCCATTTTTAATGCTACTGGTAAATCTATTGTTTTCTAGAAAACAATTCTCTCAATGTATTTCTAGTTATCGCTATTGCCAAGTGTTCCTGAGGTTTATAAATATTCCAAATAAAGTTGAAAGTGATAAATAATTGAAAGAAAATTCAAGCCTGAACACTTTTTAAAAGTTGTTACCAATTACTTTTTCCTTTCTTGGAAATGGTGCTCTAGTCTCTCTAATCTAGTACTTTACTTGACTGTGTGATGGATTTGATGATTGCTATTCAATTTATTCAATTAATAAACAATAATCTATCAAGAGAGTAAGTCATTTAATGCACAGGAAACTAATTAACTAACATTTAATGTACAGTTGATTGGTTTGCTATATTTTGTTCTTGGTTGTTTTCAGAGTGCTTTTAAAGTACCCAATGAGTCTTAGAGATATATGAATTTGTTATATATTGCCAGTGACTTGACTTAGCCAAGGAATATTTGATGTATTTCTTTTACTATTGAAAAACTACTTAGCTATAGGATGATTAAATAATGCAATTTAATGCTTCCACTGTTGTGAAGATTTTTTTTTTAACTTTAGCAAAAATTTCTTCCCTTCCCATTCTGTTATGAAGGTAGTAGTTCATTCCTCTTTGACATGATTTAGGGCTCTGATTTAGAATTATTTTTACAAGATAAATTGGATATCTCAGTGGCAAATACGTGTGCCCTGAAATATATAAAAACTAAACAGGTGGAGGATTATACTTTTCTCATTTTACTAACAGAAAAAGAAGATGTCAAAAAGAAAACTGAGAAGGAAACTGCTACTGATGTGAAAAAAAAAGGTATTGTACTTTCTGTGTTTCCTTAATAAGATTACGCTTGTTTGCTACATGAAAGAATCTTGGGGCAAAGTTAACAAATAGGGTACAGGTACTTCAATTTATCCATATGCAGGCTGTCAAAGCAAAAATTGCCCTTGACAAAGTAAAACAAAGCACAGGAGACTTTATTCAAGGCTACAGCAATGGCCTGAACTCAATTCCATTGAGACATTGAGCAGATTTTAAGAACAGAAATGGGGCAGGAGGGCAGTTGTAGACCATCTATTTGTTAATTGGCCTTAGTCAAGAGAATGTAAGCTTTCTCTTATCTCCATGTCATGAGTGAAGTTTTACAACTTGGGACAAGGCAACCAAAGGTATGATTCCTTTCCTCCCACAGAAACTGGGAATAAACTTGCTGTCTTTCTGATACATTTCAAAGGGATGTTTTGCAGGTCCTTGAGAAAGGTATCCCTGGGTTTCAAAAGATTTATGTTTCAAGGGAGTAGGGAAAGAATTCATAATTACAAGTTTCTAAAGTAAATACTCTAGGGGAGGTTAGAAACATAAGGTCAGAAGGAAGCCTGCATAACGTTTAATGAAGTTGAGAAGAACTTCAAGGCCATAACACTTAATGAACATAATGAAATTGAGGGGAGCATCATAGTATAATAACACCACTTTACGAAGATAAGCAGAGAGAAAATAATGCATCCCATTAAGACATAAGATTGTTCAATAGTTTAGACTTTTGCTTTAAATTTTTATTGTTGTTCAAACATGAGTATTGGCTTCGATTCTGGTTAAGTTTAAATGTAGGTGAAAAAAAGTAATTTCAAATATTATGGTTTTGTGATATGTGCTATCACCCTAAATATTTCCTCCACTAGTGTCAGTGATTCTTAGAATTCCACCATTACAGACATTGTATTCCTTTGAGTTATGAAGGAATTGCCCTCTATTAAAATGCAAAGCTCTTAAGGCCTGTGGGTGTAAGGTAAGCAGCTAATTCCTCTCAGCCATTAACACTTAAAGTAGATAAAGGGGGGCGGAGCAACATGGCGGCGAGGAGACGCTGCGAGTAACATCTCCCATTAAAAAAAGTTAATAGGGAGGAAAAGCGGCAGGTCCCAGTGAGAAGTGGGACACGGAAGATAAACGGGTGACGCCAGCGAACTGCCCGAAGAAGAAAGTGGCCATAAAAGAGGACTAGAAGGGAGGGAAGCGCAGAACCCTGCTCCCCTCCCCCGCCCACAGAGGCGGCACTCTCCGACCGGCAGAGAGGAGGAAACAACAAACCAAAACGGCCAACAAGAACAAACGACGCAGCAAGCGGGACTGTGAGTGGAAAGGAACTATTGCAGCCACCACACCCCGTGAACGGGAGCTGAGGCGAACCCTGCAGGATCCGCCGCGGCGGTGAGCGAACGGCTCCTGGCGCCATTAGAGAAGAACAAAGACCCCGGGAGACCCGCACACAGCCCGGGCTGCCGGTAAGCTGGCGCGGAAACGCGGCGCGCTCGGGGAGCTTGAAAAGCAAGTGCAGACCTGGATCGCGGCTGCCCAGGTCCCCGCGCCTGCGACCTAGGCTTGCGGGGAGACGCACGGAGGTCCTCACTGAGGTGAAGGTCCCTCCCTGAGTGAGCAGGAACCAGGCGCCCAGGCACGGGAGCGGTGCAAAAGGCGCCATTCCCGCGCCACTGAACTGGGCTACAGCCCGCGTCCTGGAACTGAGGGCTTTGAACTGAGACCCGGGGCACGAAAATTCGGGGCGTGGGTTCTCCACGACGGTGGGGCACAAGGCAGACACAGCACCCCAAAGCTGTTGAGGTGTACCCTACCATTCCCGCTCTGTTCTCTGTCCCACGGGGTGGGGGGAGGCGAAAAACAGCCCCCCAAGGACAATAGGAGAGATCTCTGGCGCCACCTAGCGACCAGGAAAAAAAAAAGTCACTAACACCCTATAAAACAGGACAATTCTTAAGACTGCTTGAAAAGGGCAGAAGGTTTCTGGAGGACCCAGTGGCCAGCCAGGAAGTTATTCCACGCCAGGCCCCTTCCGACCAGCAGTCTGAGCCCACAGAGGGAGCAGGCACCCATGTCTGGGGCAGACCGGGTGCGCAGAAGAGTGTGCCTGAAACCGGAGGCGCAGGGACTGCATCCCGCTTCGCCATTTGAGAACAGGGACATTTCTTCAGTAAAAACTGCCTAAAACCAGCAGAAAGCTCCCCCAGAAGACAGAGATGGCTCCTGGAAGAGCCAGAGGGGAGCGGAGAAGTTCACCCAAGATGTCAGTCAGTCCGAGCAACACAGTGTCCCAACGCATACGACAAATTAGAAAACAGACAGTAGGGAGTAGAAGAACCACACGCAACCTAAAAACTCCTCAGGAAAGAAGCACACCACAAAAAGAAAACCACTCCCCAGATTGCAACGACAGCAACTTGGAAGAACTTCTGAGCCTTCCAGAAAGAGAATTTAAAATTGCCATGATTAAAAAAGTGATAGATCAGAAGAAGGAAATTGAGTCCCTAAAGAGGGAAGTAAGAGAAATGCAGGAGATCAAAGAATTAATGGAGGAACTAAAGAACTCCGGGAAAAGCAAGGAAAGCAGAATAGATGAAATGGAAGAACGAATAAGTAATCTTGAAGACACAGAAATAAAAAGAACCAAAACAGAAAAGGAAAGAGAAGTACGAAGGAAAAAGAATGAAGAAAGACTTCGGGAACTATCTGACTCCATGAGGAAAGGAAATATAAGAGTTATAGGAATTCCAGAAGGAGAGGAGAGAGATGTAGGAACAGAGAAAATATTCATGGATATAATTGAAGAGAACTTCCCAAATGAGAAGAAGGAGCTGAAAATTGATATACAAGAAGCAAGAAGAACACCAAACTTCCACGACGAAAGGAAAAACACAGCAAGACACATAATAGTAAAGCTCCCAAGAATCCAGGACAAGGAAAAAATAATGAAGCTGACAAGAGGGAAGAAACAGATAACATTCAAAGGAAAACCAATCAGGCTGACATCAGACTTCTCTGAAGAAACACTACGGGCAAGGAGAGAGTGGAGGGACATAGTCAACAGACTCCAAGAAAACAGATGCCAACCAAGAATACTCTATCCCGCAAAGCTCTCTTTCCTCCATGAAGAAAGAATATGGACCTTCCCAGACAAAGAGAAACTCCGGAATTTCATTGCGACTAAACCCCCACTCCAAAAAATACTACAAGGAATCCTAAAGCCAGAACCTCAGAGGGACGAATAACAACGAAAGAAAACCAAAAAAAAAAAAAAAAGTTATTAAAAGAATAAATAAATAAAATCAAAGGAAAGACAAACATAATGGCAAATACAGATGCTAACATATCAATATTAACTCTAAATGTAAATGGACTAAACTCTTCAATAAAAAGACACAGAGTTGCAGCCTGGATTAAGAAACAAAACCCAACCTTTTGCTGTCTCCAGGAAACACATTTAGCTACAAAAGATAAAAATAGGCTCAAAGTCAAAGGATGGAAAACAATCCTACAAGCAAATGGGCCAAAAAAGAAAGCAGGAACAGCTATACTTATATCAGATAAAACAGACTTCAAACTCAAAAAAATAAAAAGAGACCCCAATGGTCACTACATTATGATTAAGGGGACAATACTTCAAGAAGAAATAACACTCATTAACATATACTCACCAAACGAAAGAGCACCAAAATATATCAGACAACTGTTGTCCTCTCTGAAAACAGACATCAGAGAAAACACATATGTAGTGGGAGACTTCAACACACCACTATCAACAATGGATAGATCAACAAGACAAAAAATAAGTAAAGAAACTAAAGCTCTAAATAAGGACCTAGAGCATTTGGGCTTAACAGACATCTATAGAACACTAAACCCAAAAAAAACGGAGTACACATTTTTCTCAAGCGCACACGGATCATTCTCCAGGATCGATCACATACTGGGGCACAAGACAAACATCAACAGATACACCAAGATTGAAATCATACCAACCATCTTTTCTGACCACGAAGGCATCAAACTAGAAATAAATCATAAAAAGAAGGCAAGGAACTATCCTACCTCATGGAGATTAAAAGCCACACTACTGGAAGACCACTGGACTAACGAGGAGATCAAAGAAGAAATTAAAAAATTCTTTGAATTGAATGACAAGGAGGACACCAATATCCTAAATGTATGGGATGCAGCAAAAGCAGTAATAAGAGGAAAATATATAGCAATAGAAGCTCACATCAAAAAACAAGAAAGAACTCAAAGAAACAACCTAATCTCGAAGCTCAAAGATCTAGAAAAAGAACAACAAAAAAACCCCAGAACCAGTAGAAGAAAAGAAATAATAAAAACCAAAGCAGAAATAAATGAAATTGAAACTAAAAAAACAATCCAAAAGATCAATGAAACCAAGAGCTGGTTCTTTGAAAAAATAAATAAAATAGACAAACCCCTAGCCAGGCTCACAAAGGAAAAAAGGGAGAAAGCACAAATACACAGAATCATAAATGAAAGAGGAGAAATCACAACGGACACAGCAGAAATCAAAAGAATAATCAGTAACTACTATGAACAGTTATATGGAAACAAGTTCAACAATCTAGAGGAGATGGACAAATTCCTACAACTCTACAATCACCCAAAGCTAGATAAAGAAGAAATAGAACAGCTAAACAGACCAATTACAAGCAGCGAAATTGAAATGGTAATTAAAAACCTCCCCAAAAACAAAAGCCCAGGACCTGATGGATTTACAAATGAATTCTACCAAACATTCAGAGACGAATTAGTGCCTATCCTTCACAAACTCTTCCAAAAAATTGAGAAGGAAGGGACAATACCAAACACGTTCTATGAAGCCAATATTACACTAATACCAAAACCGAATAAGGACAACACAAAAAAGGAAAACTATAGGCCAATCTCCCTAATGAACACTGATGCAAAAATCCTCAATAAAATTTTAGCTATCAGAATCCAACAATGTATCCATAAGA